TTAATTTTTTTAAATAAAATTTTGAATTTAAATTTTATGAATGAAAAAATAAGTGTTAAAGTATTTTTTATATAAAAGGGTTAATGTGACTTAATTTTAAGTTAATTGAAATCTAATATAACTTTTAGATATAAAAAGTTGGTAAAAAAATACAATAGAAATTATTTTTATAAAAAAATTACAATATCTTAATGTTAAAAATATTAAAATATTTAATAATACTTACATGATAAATTTAATAAAATTAAAATTTATATTATATTTTATACATGCAATAATTGTAATTCAACGTTTTGATATTTTTAATACCAAAATATTTTTTTTTTCATTTCTTTTATCTTTTATTTCGTTTTATTTATATATTATTCAACTTAAATTTAAATTTTATTATTATTAATAAAAGCAATTTATAATTAAATTATTTAAATTACCTACAATCCAATTCCAGTTTTCACAGTGATATAGAATTTTAGACATTAATTTTAGATATATTTCAAAAACGTACACGTGCCCCCTTCTGTGTGCCCTTTAGTTTCTCTCTCTCCCGATATATATTATGCATAACCACAACAGCAAGAGTCTGTTTCGCTTTCCCCAAGCGCGCGCATTTCCCTTCTCTAGAATATTTCTCCCAAATACAGCGTCGGCATGAGGCTCCGATCATGGCTATCCGGCAGTTGCTCCACCACCAACCATGACTCCACCGTCCCATTCTCTATGAAACATCTAGAAACCACCAGCTCCACCGATATTTCCACTACCACCGCATCGTCATCGGCGTCGTCCATCGCCACCAGCCTCCAGAGTAGTGTTTCTCTCCTCAGCCTCCCATCTCTCCCTTCCCTCCAAAACCTCCCGCCGGAAACCCTAGATCTCTCCGTTTCTCATCTCTGTGTTGCTTCACTTAATCCACGGGCGAAGCTTCCGATCACCTGCCTTGCAGTGCACGGTTACTTCCTCTATGCCGCCTCTGCCAATGAGGTCAGAGTCTACGAGCGGAAGACCTGGACGCTTCTTGATACATTCAACAGCGAAGATTCCTCCTCTGGCTCAGTAAAGGCGGTCAGTTTCTGCGAGGGGAAAGTCTTCACGGCGCACCAAGATTGCAAGATCCGAGTGTGGCAGATGATGGAGACACAACGGCACAAGTTGTTAGCCACACTTCCTACCGTAAACGACCGCTTGCGGAGCTTCCTACTCCCGAAGAACTATGTCAGTGTCCGCCGCCATGTCAAGCGGCTCTGGATCGAGCACGCCGATGCCGTCACCGGACAAGCTGTTAATAATGGTTTAATCTACTCGGTTTCTTGGGATAAAAGCTTGAAGGTATGGCGAGGGTCCGATCTCCGTTGTTTGGAGTCCGTTAAAGCACACGAAGACGCCATCAACACTGTCGCAGTCTCCGCTGACGGGACGGTTTACACAGGATCCGCAGATAACCGGATACGGGTATGGGCCAAACCGTTGGGTGAGAAACGGCACGCGTTGATAGCGACATTAGAGAAGCACAAATCGGCGGTGAACACGCTAGCTCTAAGCGACGACGGGTCGGTCCTGTTTTCCGGGTCGTGCGACCGTTCGATTTTAGTGTGGGAGAGGGAGGACAGAGCCAATCACATGGCGGTGACGGGGGCGTTAAGAGGGCACAAGAATGCAATACTTTGCTTGATTAACGTCACTGATTTGCTGTTCAGCGGGTCCGCCGACCGGACGGTGAGGGTATGGCTGCGAGGGCAGGAGGGGAGGTACTGCTGCTTGTCGGTTTTGGAGGGTCACCAGAAACCTGTGAAGTCGTTGGCGGCGGTTGCGGAAGATGAACCAAATGGTGTAGTGTCGGTCGTTAGTGGAGGCCTTGACGGTGAGCTAAGAGTGTGGCGGGTCTTGAAATGGAGACCCAACTGCACGTCCCCGGACAATCTAAAAATGGAAATTGTGAAATAATAAAAGAAAATTCATAAATATCTCACTTCATTTGGATGTCTAAGTTTTTGGAAAAATTTTGTACAAAAATGATATTGTAAATGCAAGGGATAAAAGGAAATTTGAGATTTACTTGACAGATATAGGGTATGTTAAATGAAAAAATTTTATATTTAAAAAATAAAAAAATATATAAATTAAATATAAAAAATTATTTTTAATTATTTATAAAAAATTATTTTTAATTATTAATTAATTTTAAACTA